TTTTTTTTTTTTTTTTTTTTTTTTTTAAAGACGGGGTTTCACCATGTTGGTCAGGCTGGTCTTGAGTGATCTGCCCACCTTGGCCTCCAAAGTGCTTGGATTACAGGTGTGAGCCACCACGCCCGGCCTCCAAGAAGATTCTTATATACTAAAATTAAGATATGGGCCAGGAGAAGATTCTTAAATACTAAAATTAAGATATGGGCTGGGAGAAGATTCTTAAATACTAAAATTAAGATATGGGCCAGGCGCAGTGGCTCACACCTGGAATCTCAGCACTTTGGGAAGCCGAGGTGGGCGGATCACCTAAGGTCAGGAGTTCGAGACCAGCCTGGCCAACATGGTGAAACCCTGTTTCTACAAAAATATGAAAATTAGCTGGGCATGATGATGGACACCTGTAATCCCAGCTACTCGGGAGGCTGAGTTGGAAGAATCGCTTGAACCTGGGAGGTGGATATCGCAGTGAGCCGTGATCCTGCCATTGCACTCCAGCCTGGGGAACAGAGTGAGATTTGTTCTCAAAAAAAAAAAAAAAATCTTCTCGTTATAGGCCAGGCACAATGGCTGACACCTGTAATCCCAGCATCTTGGGAGACTGAGGCAGGCAGATCACTTGAGCCCAGGAGTTCTAGATCAGCCTGGGCAAAATAGTGTTGCCCATCTGTACAAAAAAAAATTAAAAACTGGTTGGGTGTGGTGGTGCATGCTGAGGAGGGAAGATCACTTGAGCCCAGGAGTTTGAGACTACAGTGAGCTAAGATCATAGCACTGCACTGCAGCCTTAGCAACAGATTGAGACCCTGTCTCAGGTAAATAACTCTTTTTGTTATAAAGTCATACAACAAATTATTTAATAAATTTTAACAATATACAAGCATGTTGTGTGGAACAAAATTCCCTGACCCCAGGTTGCTCTTTCAGGATTATGAAAGAGAAATTCCATGCTGCTGCCCAGAGCCATGGAGTAGGGGGGATATTAACCTTCATGAAGATACAAAAGGTACAACCCACTGTAAGCTCATATGGCATTACAGGAGAGGAACCCTGAGCCTAATGAACCCATTTGACTTGTGCAGCTTCTGACTTGGCTGAATCTGTCCTACACTCTGTGCAGTGGAGGTGACCATGGTGACTATCTCATAGGGTTGTAATGAGGCTGCAGAAGCATGGGAGTTGATCAGCACAGCACCTGGCCCGAAGCAAGGGTTCAACCCATGCTTGCAGTCAAAATACTTCATGGCCCAGAGAACAAGGTTGTTTGGATGCCTGTAATCCCAGCACTTTGGGAAGCCAAGGCAGATGGATCACCTGAGGTCAAGGGTTCAAGACCAGCCTGGCCAACATGGTGAAACCCCATCTCTACTAAAAATGCAAAAATTAGCCAGGTGTGGTGGTGCATGTCTGTAGTTGCAGCAACTCCGGAGGCTGAGGCGGGAGAACCCCTTGAACCCAGGAGGCAGAGGTCACAGTGAGCCGAGATCACGCTACTGCACTCCAGCCTAGGCGACAGAGCGAAGAAAAAAAAAAGGTTAGACTATGAAGGCTCAGAGGAGCGCAGCATGGCCTCAGCTGTCCTTCCTAGCATGTTTGTCAGTCAGTGACTTGTAACTGAAAGTGGTAAAGAAATAAAGGAGATAGGGAGGCCGAGTGGTGGAAAGAAATGGACTTTGGACCCAGACAGACCTCAGTGTGAAGGCCGACTACAGGACTGCCTATTTGTAATGACCTTGGTTGCATTTCCTGAACCTTATTTCCTTGTTTATAAAATGGGGGAACAGTATACCTACCAGGTTGTGAGGATTCGGTGAGTTACCTTCACTTCCCAGATAGGGAAACTCAGACAGCAGGTACATGACTTGCCTGAGCTGTTTTCCAGCTCCCAGGCCGTGGCATGGCCCCCATCCCCAGGGGCCACGGTGACCCAGCTCCCCTGAGCCAGAAGGAGGCCATCTGAGATCCCCCTCTGGGGAAAGTTTGAGAAACCTAACCCTGCTGGGAGTTTTGTCACCAATTAGTTTAATGGACTCTTTTGTGCGGAACTGGCCAGGGAGCAGGAGGGGACAGAATTTATTTGCTTTTTCCTTCCACTACCTGGGCTTCCCAAATGCATGCCCTTATGTTGACTTTGAGGCCCTCAGTGTCAGGACATCTATGCTTGCCCACCGCTGTTGCCATAACAACAAGGTTTTGAAGGATGCCAGGTGCATAATGTCCTGTCTTGTGTCTTTCTTTCACTCTTATCTTTTTTTTTTTTTCTTTTTTAGGCAGCATCTCACTCTTTTGCACAGGCTGAAGGGCAAGGGCACAATCATGACTCACTGCAGCCTCTAGCTACGGGGCTCAGACAATCCTCCCACCTTAGCCTCCTAAGTACCTGGGACCGCAGGCATGCACCACCACACCTGCCTAAGTTTTGTATTTTCTGTAGAGATGGGGTCTCACCCTGTTACTCAGGCTGAGTCTCAAACCCCTGGGCTCAAGGAATCTGCCCATGTTGGCTTCCTAACCTGCTTTTGGATTATAGGCATGAGCCACTGCACCTGGCCCTGACTTGTTTTTTAATACCTAGAGGAAAAAAAATCTGACCACTCAGATCTTGCACTCATATTTTTTTCTTCCTTTTCCTCCAAATTCAACCAAGGCAAGATCTTATACTCTCTCCAAGAAAAACACACCTGTAATCCCAGCACTTTGGGAAGCCGAGGCGGGCGGATCACGAGGTCAAGAGATCAAGACCATCCTGGCGAACAAAGTGAAACCCGATCTCTACTAAAAATACAAAAAAAAAAAAAAAATTAGCTGGGTGTGGTGGTGCACACCTGTAGTCCCAGCTACTTGGGAGACTAAGGCAGGAGAATTGCTTGAACCAGGGAGGGGGAGTTTGCAGCGAGCCGAGATAGTTCTGCTGCGCTCCAGTCTGGTGACAGAGCGAGACTCTGTCTCAAAAAAAAAAGAAAGAAAAACAACAACAGCAGAACTGTAATTCTGTAATTAACATAATTTTTTTAAAAAATCACTCAAAAACTGATGTGAAAGAGACTGAATTAGACTTGTTTAATAAGATGCCTACTTACCCTGGGCTTTGCTTCGTGTCTCAGCCCTGGGCATTCTCGATCATGGCCTTTGGTTTTGCAACACTTGTCAAGCTCAAGCTCCCAAAGGAATTCTAGAAATCTCACAGATCCTCCTCATACCCCCACTCCCCTCAGTACCCAGTGTTCAGTGGCAAGGGCTTAGTTCTCTTTTTTTTTTTTTTTTTTTTTTTGAGACAGAGTCTCGCTCTGTTGCCCAGGCTAGAGTGCAGTGGCATGATCCTGACTCACTGCAACCTCCACCTCCGAGACTCAAGTGATTTTCCTGCCTCAGCCTCTCAAGTAGCTGGGATTACAGGTGTGAGCCACTATGCCTGGCTAATTTTTGTATTTTTAGTAGATATGGGGTTTCACTATGTTGGCCGGGCTGGACTCGAACTCCTGACCTCAGGTGATCCACCTGCCTTGGCCTCCCAAAGTGCTGGGATTACAGGTGTGAGCCACTGTGCCTGACCTGGTTTAGTTCTTTACTATGTGAATATCTCATTCTCTTGGACCAAGCATCTTGCAGTGGACCAAATATCCCAAATCCATTTTCATGTTAATATCCTTTGCTTTTCCATTACATTGTATTCTATCAGGTGAGGATGAGCAGAAGCTTGCACCATTAATAACTAGAGAAAAAAACAGTTAACCTGGGCAGGGGAACCCAGCATTTTTTCTCTTTGGTTTAGGAAATCACCTGGTTGGCATATTCAACCAGCAAGAAAGAGAGGATCAAGGAAGTATCTACAAATTGAAGTCTTTAAAACTCTGGAATCTCTTAAAAATATCCCTAACACAATGATCCCTGATGCTCTATTTCTAATCTGTTTTCATCCTGTAACTTCCCTTCAAGGAGTCTATAAAGTGTCAATTCAAAGTGACAAGAAATGGACACATATTCTAAGGGAATTTCCCAAGATAAAAAGAAGATGGAGGAAATGGTCTCTGAAGGTATGTGTGAGGGTGCTAGACAGGGAGTTGTCCCTGCACGGCCCTGGTCACATACTGACCCCAAACAAACTCTTTCATCTCAGCCACATCACAAACAAAACAGACATTTTGCGCATCACCAATCAGTCTGGAATGAACTTTACAACCCTGGAATTGTTCTATCTCCTTCTATTCGCCACCATACCTACTTTCTGCCTTTCTTCACTAAAAACTTCTCAATAATCTTTGCCATCTGCTGTGGGGAAACCAAACACAGAGAAGTCACAGTCACTGTGCAGTTTAGTTATGGGGACAAGACATGGAGACTCTGAACAAAGAATTAAAATGAGGGGATGAGCCGGGCGCGGTGGCTCAAGCCTGTAATCCCAGCACTTTGGGAGGCCGAGGCGGGTGGATCACGAGGTCAAGAGATCGAGACCATCCTGGTCAACATGGTGAAACCCCGTCTCTACTAAAAATACAAAAAAAAATTAGCTTGGGGGGATGCTGGTCCAACTGTATCCCTTGTGAATATCTAAAAATAAAGGGGATCAGTGTGCAGAAGAGTGGATTAAAACAAAAAGAAAATAAGAAAATAAAAATAAAGGAGAAATTAGCATAAGGTCTCTTGGGAAAAACACACACACACACACACACACACACACACAGAGAGAGGGAGAGAGAGAGAGAGAAAGAGAGAGAGAGAAAGAGATTTTCTGAAAGTGTACTCTTTAGATTGGCTCTTGAAAGAAATGAGGGCCAACCATGGTGGTTCACACCTGTAATCCCAACACTTTGGGAAGCCGAAATAGGCAGATCACTTGAGGTCAGGAGTTCAAGACTAGCCTGGCCAATATGACGAAACCCCATCTCTATTAAAAATACAAAAAATTAGCTAGGCTTGGTGGCAATAGTTCCAGCTACTCAGGAGGCTGAGGCAGGAGAATCGCTGGAGCCTGGGAGGCAGAGGTTGCAGTGAGCCGAGATCACGCCATTGCACTCCAGTCTGGGCAACAGAGCAAGACTCCATCTCAATAAAAATAAGAAAGAAAGCACCTGGGAGCGGCAGCTCATGCCTGTAATCCCAGCACTTTGGGAGGCCTAGGTGGATGGATCACCTGAGTCCGGGAGTTCGAGACCAGCCTGACCAACATGGAGAAACCCCGTCTCTACTAAAAACACAAAATTAGCCTTCTGTGTGTGTTGGAGTGCACCTGTAATCCGAGCTGCTCAGGAGGCTGAGGCAGGAGAATCACTTGAAACCAGGAGGCAGAGGTTGCAGTGAGCTGAGATTGCGTCACTGCACTTTAGCCTGAGCAACAAAAGTGAAACTCCATCTCAAAAAAAAAAAAGTCCTCCCACCTCCCTCCCACTGAATCTCAAAAAAAAAAAAAAAAAAAAAAAGAAATTAGTGAGGAGAAAGAGGTGGGGAAAGACAGCCTTCCCAGTAGGGAAAGCAGCAGGGTATAAAGGAAGAAATAATGAACCAAGAGTTAGGAGAGCTTGGGGGGCATCAGGGCTATCTTAAATTGGGGTCTGCATTTGGGGCATGGGGTGACCCAGGGTCTGTGAGGTCATTTTCTGACGCTAATAGTTGATGGTTAACCTATGATTCTGTGATAGGTTTGGAATACAGATCTGCCAGGCCTATGCACCTGGTGTGTGTTATATCCTTCCACACCCAGTGGGACAGCGTCAGTGGGATTGGACCTTTGCATGTGTCCCTTCCTCTGCCGGGAACTCATCTCCTCTGAATCAGACTCTGTTCAGTGGAACCTTCTGGGATGATGGAAATGTTCTATTAACCTGCATTGTCCAGTACAGTAACCACTAGTTAAATGTGGGGATTGAACCCCCGAAATGTGGCTAGTGTGACTGAGGAATGGAATGAATTTTTAATTGTATTAATTTATTTATTTTTGTTTTTGAGTTTTTTGTTGTTGTTCGTATTGTTTTGAGACAGGGTCTTGTTATGTTGCCCAGGTCGGTCTAGAACTCCTGGGCTTAAGAAAGCTTTCTGCCTCAGCCTCCCAAAGTGCTGGGATTACAGGTACAAGCCACGACAACCAACTGTGTTTAAGTTTAACTTATTTAAATAGTCACGGGGGCTAGAGGCCCCCATATTGGGCAACATGGCTTATGGTTTGCTCCTTTGCAATATTCAGCTATCAATCACCTTCTCAGAGAACCTGTTCCTCAGGATTGCCACCTGTAGAAGGCAGAATGCCCACCTCCTCCTTCCCCCGCCCCCCATCAAAGACGTCCACATCTAAATCCCTAGAACCAGTTACCTTATATGCCGGAGGAGAATTAAGGTTGCAGATGACATCAAGTTGCTGCTGAGCTGACCCTGACCCTGAAATGAGAAAGCTCTCCTGAATTTTCCGGATGAGCCCATCTAATCTTATGAGTCCTTAAAAGGGAAAAAGAAGTAGGTAGAGAAGTAGATGAGCAATAGAGATGAGAGAGATGAAAAAGGAGGAAGATTAGAAGTGTGAGGGGGGCCGAGCACAGTGGCTCACGCCTGTAATCCCAGCACTTTGGGAGGCCTAGGAGGGGTGGATCACTTGAGGTAAGGAGTTCGAGACCAGCCTGACCAACATGGTGAAACCCCATCTCTGCTAAAAATACAAAAATGAGCTGGGCATGGTGATAGACCCCTGTAATCCCAGCTACTCAGGAGGCTGAGGCGAGAGAGTCACTTGATCACTTGAACCCGGGAGGAGGAGGTTGCAGTGAGTGGAAATTGCGCCACTGCACTTCAGCCTGGGTGACAGAGAGGGACTTCGTCTCAAAAAAAAAAGAAGTGTGAAGGGGAAATCATCTTCCATGGTTGTTTTTGAAGATAGTAACAGGCAGGCAGGCTCCACGCAACCAGTGCAGTGGCCTCTAGGAGCTTGGAACGGGCCCTCCATGGACAGCCAGCAGGCATATTGGGGCCTCAGTCTTACAACTGCAAAAAACTTGCATGAGCACAGAAACAGATTCTCCCTGAGATGCTCCAGAAAGGAGCATGGCCTGCCAACACCTTGATCGTAGTCTCGTAAGACCCACACCAGACTTCTGACCTACACAGCTGTAAGACAATACATTTGTGTTGTTTTAAGCCACCAAATCTGTGGTCATTTGGGCAGGGCGTGAGAGCTCACGCCTGTAATCCCAGCTCTTTGGGAAGCTGAGGTGAGAGGAAAGCTTGAGGCCAGGAGTTCAAGACCAAGCTGGGCAACATAGCAGGACCCCATCTTTACAAAAAAAATACAAAAATTTTGTGCCAGGTGTAGTGGCTCCTGCCTGTAATCCCAGCACTTTGGGAGGCCGAGGCCAGGAAGATCAACACCTGAGGTTAAGAGTTCCAGACCAGCCTGGCCAACATGGTGAAACCCTGTCTCTACCAAAAATACAAAAATTAGCCAGGTTTGGTGGCGGGTGTCTGTAATCTCAGCTACTTGGGAGGCTGAGGCTGAAAAATACGGGAGGCGGAGATTGTGGTGAGCTGAGATTGGGCCATTGAACTCCATCCTGGGCAACAAGAATGAAACTCCATCTCAAAAAACAAAAACAAATATACAAAACTTAGCTGGGTGTGGTGGTTCATGCCTGTTGGCCCAGATACTTGGGTGGCTGAGGTGGGAGGATCACTTGAGCCTGGACGGCCAAGGCTGAGTGGGCTGAGATCTTGCACTCCAGCCTGGGTGGCAGAGTGAGACCCTATCTCTAAATAGATAAAAAATTTGTGGTCATTTGTTTCAGCAGCAATGGGAAACTAATACTCCACCTCAGACCAGCTCTGGCCCTGCCCTAGGGGGACTCCTAAGGAGTGAGGAGTTTAAGAACCCAAGGAGTTACACCCCCTGGAGGTCCCTTCTAACACTAGAGAGCTGCTCCGTGACCCTGGCCCTGCACTCATGGCCCACATGTGGCTCCTCCTCATTCTGTCCTCCAGAGGGGGAACAGGCCTCAGATGAGCACCCCCAGGCCTGAGGGGAAACACACAAATGGGTGTCTGTGTGGGAGGGGGCTGAGGCCCAAGGTGGGACACTGGGCTTCAGTATTCACATGGGCACACGGGAGTCCGTTTGATATATGGGACATGGCAGGGAAGAGGAGGACTGGGAAGAGAAGCAGCTCAGGAAGGGGACTCAGGATTGGGCTCTGACCCTCTCTGTGCTGCCGTGTTCTGGGTGGAACTCTGGGAAGGCTGTGGATTTTATTTTTTACAAATTTAGTTTATGATTTATTTTAAAAAATAGAGACAGGGTCTTACTATATTGCCCAGGTTGGTCTAGAACTTCTGGGCTCACGTGATCCTCCTGACTTGGTTTTCCAAAGTGCTGGGATTATAGGTGTGAACCACCTCACCAGGGCAGACTGTGGATTTTAAATTCAAGCCAGATCTCCCGAGTCTTTGTGAGGGCATATGAGAAAGAATAAAATACATATTTCTCTCTTTTTTTAGAGACAAGGTCTTACTCTGTTGCCCAGGCTGGAGTGCAGTGGCATGATCTCAGCTCACTGCAGCCTTGACCTTCCAGGCTAAAGTGATCCTCCCACCTCAGCCTCCCAAGTATCTGGGACTATGGGCATGAGCCACCACACCAGCTAATTTTCTTATTTTTTTATAGAGATGGGGTCTTGCTACATTGCTCAGGCTGGTCTTGAACTTCTGGCCTCAAGTAATCCTCCCATCTTGACCTCCCAAAGTGCTGGGATTACAGGCACGAACCACCGCACCCAACCCTGCGTTTCCCTTTCCTTTCTCTATACACCTTTGTCCTTGAAAATCTCATTGGCTCCTATGATTTTAACCATCCCCTGCAGGAAGATGATGCCCCAAAGCATAGTATTTTCTCAAATTCCATTTCCAAATTTTCTCTCATCTGTAGCACTTCTCTATCTAGATATTCCAGAGACCACTCAGCATTCCTTGTCTAAACTTAACCCCTCCCTAATCCACCCACCATTTCCTAATCACTGAGATTCAGAACCGTGGTTCTCTGACCCGCCCTCTTCCTCACCTCACACAACCATTCCATCAACCAGCCCTCTGGATTTTACTACCCCCACAGCTTCACTAATCCAAGAGTGTCCTAGGGGCCAGGCAAGGTGGCTCATGCCTGTAATTCCAGCACTTTGGGAGGCTGAAGCATGAGGATCACTTGTGCTCAGGAGTTTGAGATCAGCCTGGGAAACATACATAGTGAGACCCTCCTGCCTCTACAAAAAATTTTAAAAATTAGCCAGATGTGGTGGCACACATCTGTAGTCTCAGCTACATGGGAGGGAGGTGGGAGGATTACTTGAGCCCAAGAGGTTGAGGCTACAGTGAGCCATAATCTCACCACTGCACTCCAGGAGTGAGACCCTCTGTTGAAAAAGAAAAAAAAAAAAAAAAAAAAAAAAAAGGACCTCCTAATTGTTCTGTCTCAGGGTTCCCAGTCAAGTTCTTCCTGCTTTGCATGCCTGATTGATCGACTACAGCCGGGGCTCTGAGTATGTTACCCTTCCTGCTCAAAAACTTTCAGTATGTCCTCCTGGGAACAGAGGAATGAACTTTTCATTGTGGCACTCCAGCTCTCACAGTGTGTGAGATTACGGTAGTTTAATGTTTAACTTGCAAGAGGCTTGAAATCTCAAGACCTGAGACAAAATCCTGAATGTGCCCAGGTTGGTCTCAAACTCTGGGCCTCACGTGATTCCTCTGTCTGGTGTGACTCTGGGCAAGTTATGCAAACGCTGTGAACCCCTGTTAGAGAGAATTCTCCCATTAGGTGTCTTGAGGATGAAATTAGATAATGCAAACAAAATGCTTACTTATCCTTATTCTCATTAAGCTGCTATCATTATTAGCTAACATAAAGGTGCTTAGCAAAAAGTGCCTGCCACTAAGTTACTCAAGAAATCAGTGCTTTCCCAAGATGTTACTTGAGTCTGTATCTCTGATGTTACCTGTATTTCAAAACTGTTTTTTTCCAGTTACATTTTATTTATTTATTTTTTGAGACAGAGTCCTGCTCTGTCGCCCAGGCTGGAGTGCAGTGGCATGATCTTGGCTCACTGCAACCTCTGCCTCCCAGGTTCAAGCAATCCTCCTCCCTTAGCCTCTCAAGTAGCTGGGATTACAGACGCCCACCACCACGCCCGGCCAGTTTTTGTATTTTCAGTAGAGATAGGATTTCACCATGTTGACCCGGCTTGTCTTGGACTCCTGACCTCAAGTGATCCACCCACTCTGGCCTCCCAAAATCCTGGGATTACAGGCTTGAGTCACCATGCCCCGCCATTACTTTTCATTTATGAAGATGACATGACATCCAAATGCATATGCGAATATATCTACTCTACACCAGAGGTTGGCCAACTTTTTCTACAGGGCCAGATAGTATTTCAGCTAAGGCAGGCCATATAGTATATGATGTAACTTTTCAACTCTGCTGTTAGCAGCCATAGACAAAATATAACTAAAGGAGTATGGCTGTATCCCCACAAAACTTTATTAATGTGGCTAAATCATTCAGGGAATGGAAGTAAAAAAAGCTTTATTGCCGGGCACGGTGGCTCATGCCTGTAATCCCAGCACTTTGGGAGGCCGAGGCGGGCGGATCACGAGGTCAAGAGATCGAGACCATCCTGGCCAACACGCTGAAACCCCGTCTCTACCAAAAATACAAAAATTAGCTGGGTGTGGTGGCGCATGCCTGTAGTCCCAGCTACTCAGAAGGCTGAGGCAGGAGAATTGCTTGAACCCAGGAGGAGGAGGTTGCAGTGAGCCGAGATTGCGCCACTGCACTCCAGCCTGGCGCCTGGCAATGGAACAAGACTCTGTCTCCAAAAAAAAACTTTATTAATGCATGCTAAAGTTTGAATTTCATATAATTTTCTTTCTCTCTCCTTCTTTTCTTTCCTTTTTTTTCTTTCTCCCCCTCTCTTTCCCCTTTCCTTTCCCTTCCCCTTCCACTTTTTTTCCTTTCAAGATAGTACCTCCGTTGCCCAGGCTGGAGTGCAATGGCACAATCATGGCTCACTGCAGCCTTGACCTGGACTTAAGCAATCTTCTTACCTCAGCCTCCCGGGTAGCACGCCACCACGCCCAGATTATTTTTTATTTTCTTACTTTATTTAATTTTGAGATGGAATGTCACTCTGTCACCCAGGCTGGAGTGCAATGGCACGATCTCAACTCACTGCAACCTCTACTTCCCAGGTTCAAGCGATTCTCCTGCTTCAGCCTCCGAAGTAGCTGGGACTACTGACACGAATCACCACACCTGGCTAATTTTTGCATTTTTAGTAGAGACAAGGTTTCACCGTGTTGGCCTGGCTGGTTTTGAACTACTGACCTCAGGCAATCCACCCACCTTGACCTCCCAAAGTGCTAGGATTACAGGCATAAGCCACTGCACTCAGCTCCATAATTTTCATGTGTCATGAACTGTTCTTTTGATTTTTTCCAACCATTTAAAAATGTAAGGCCGGGCACTATAGAATGTTCTTTTAATTTAAACATAGGACAGTAGTTAGGAATAACATGAAGTAAAGGACAGTACAGATGATTTGTGGGCCAATAGAATAGTCTAACAGTGGCTCCAGAATAACCAAGTTGAGCAATGCAGTCATAAATGTTTACTGTGCATAAAATTCTACAGTCTAGTTCAACACAGCTGTCCAGCTGTGTCTCCTCCGGAGCCCAGTCAAAGCGGGCTTCTGTTTCCCCAAACAGAGCTTGCACATTCCCTAGTTCCTCTGTCTAGAACACACCCTTTTGTACTCATTAAAAGCATATCCTGGCTGGGTGCAGTGGCTCATTCCTGTAATACAGCACTTTGGGAGGCTGAGGTAAGAGGATAGCTTGAGGTCAGGAGTTCTAGACCAGCCTGGGTAATATGGGAAAACCCTGTCCCTACCAAAAACAGAAAAATTAGCCTGTGTGTGGTGGTGGACGTCTGTAATCCCAGCTACTCGGAGGCTGAGGTGGGAGAATCTCTTAAACCAGGGAGACGGAGGTTACAATGAGCTGAGATAGTGCCACTGCACTCCAGCCTAGATGACAAAGTGAGATCCTGTCTCAAAAAAATAATTTAAAATTTGAAACATAATAAAAGAAATAAAAGCACATCCTCTAAGGGCCATATCCAATGCCACCTCTTAAAAATTCTAAGGCTGGGAACAGTGACTCAAGCCTGTAACCCCAGCACTTTGGGAGACTTGAGGCAGGCAGATCACTTGAGGTCAGGAGTTTGAGACCAGCCAGGCCAACATAGCAAAACCCCATCTCTATAAAAAATACAAAAATTAGCTGAGCATCATGGTGCATGCCTGTAATCCCAGCTACTTGGGAAGCTGAGGCACGAGGATCACTTGAAACCAAGAGGCGGAGGTTGCAGTGAGCCAAGATTGTGCCATTTGCACTCCAGTCCACACTACAGAGCAAGACCTTGTCTAAAAAAAAAAAAATCTTTAATGATTCTTCCCTACCCCTCATAAATGGTATTTTCCTTTTTTTCTTCTTCTTGTGCCCTGTTCTCTCAGTAATAGCTTGTTGGTGCTTCCATCATTGTACTTGTATTCTAGTTATTTTTGGCTATTTATCTTACTTAAAACCAAGCTTCTTGAGGTCTGGGGCCTTCACTCAGGCCCCCTCAGTGCCTGGCACATAGCTAGCACTCAGGAAGCATCTCTGGAGGCTGGTTCTTGGAACTGAGCACAGGGTATGACGTCACTCTGGCCAGTGTGTAACTGACAAAATGGAGTGCGAAGAGATTGGCTAGTTGAAATTGTAGTAAATGGAATGGGTCTGGGGTGTTGCTTGTTCTAGTTAATGGAATGAAGTATTGCCCCCCCCCCCACCCCCGCCAAAATAAAAAATAAATGGAGCAGGTCTGGATGGGGGTGTCGGGAGGCGATGAGGGGAAGGGCTGTGCCTCTGGGGCACAGCTGGAGGAGAATCCTGTTTGGTGTTTGAGGTAGCATGACTAGTCTGTCTTAGTTATGCCTTCCGCAGGAAGCAGGTCTGAATAGAAAGAAAAGTAGGGCTTCCTAGAGCTTCCCACACACAGGAGAGGCTCAGCAAAGAACACAGTGAAATTCAACTGCTGATTCTCTCCGGGCCTCAGGAGAGCGGGGTTCTGAGAAGGCCCTCGAGATACACATCATGCCCCAGTTACACGGAGTGAATCAGACTCTGATGCAATTGGCAATAGACCTTAATCACGAGCTTCATCTCACAGGCTCCGCACAGACGAGCTTTGTCATTTCTCTGAGGGAATCACTGTCACTTCTCTTCCAGGCTCAAAGCAGCTCACCCTGCCCCATGTAAAGCACTGATGAGATGGCAATTTAAACTGCTCCGATGACCAGGTTTCGTTAGGTAAGAAGGACCGATTAAGCAACGATGGCCCAAATAACCTCACTGGTTCAGATACTGTTTTTCAAAGCCAGCAGAAGTCTTGCCAAATTAAAGGGTGTCAGGATGAGATGCTAGGAATATCGGTTTCCTTCTCTCTGGCAATGGAGAGGATTAATTAAATGCCTGTGAAGTACTTTGAAAATTTAAGCTGTTGAGAATTATTGTTCTGTGTAATAGGGAAAAAATAGAGTTCTTGGCTCATTAAATCTGTAATGTTGTAAGCCTGAGCACTATTTTCAGGATATCTTTGAGAGCTACACTTTTATTAACAGAAAGAAAAGAGAAAGGTGTCTATGAGTACAGATATACAGTACACATGCTGGAAAGTCAGTTGGATTAATCAGTATTTCTCTTGATTAAGAAATGAAGTGGGGGATATAATCCCAGCATTTAAGGAGGCTGAGGTGGGAGGATCATTTGAGCCCCTGAGTTTGAGTCCAGCCTGGGCAATATAGTAAGACTTTGTTTCTAAAAAAAAAGTCAGGCAAGGTGGCTCATGCCTATTATCCCAGCACTTTGGGAGGCCAAGGTGGGTGGATCACCTGAGGTCAGAAGTTTGAGAGTGGCCTGGCCAACATGGCAAAACCCCATTTCTACTAAAAATACGCAAATTAGCCGAGTGTGGTGGCAGGCGCCTGTAGTCCCAGCTACTGGGCGAAAGAGTGAGACTCCATCTCAAAAAAAAAAAAAGAAAAAGAAAAACAACAGAAAAAATAAATGAGTGAACTGGGAGAAGCTGTTGATTACCACAGTCAGAGACAGTTATTAAGAATCAGTTGTGGGTCCGGGCGCGGTGGCTCAAGCCTGTAATCCCAGCACTTTGGGAGGCCGAGGCGGGTGGATCACGAGGTCAATAGATCGAGACCATCCTGGTCAACATGGTGAAACCCCGTCTCTACTAAAAATACAAAACATTAGCTGGGCATGGTGGCGCGTGCCTGTAATCCCAGCTACTCAGGAGGTTGAGGCAGGATAATTGCCTGAACCCAGGAGGTGGAGGTTGCGGTGAGCCGAGATCGCGCCATTGCACTCCAGCCTGGGTAACAAGAGTGAAACTCCGTCTCAAAAAAAAAAAAAAAAAAAAGAATCAGTTGCTTAACTGTGTAGGGACAGTTTCACTAAAACATTAGCAGACAGGCATTTGTTTTCTTTCAATTAGGATCAAGGGATGAAAAGACTGAGATTGTATACATGTAAACACCAAGTTCAGTGAGCTTCCATGGCCTCTCTGTCTTAACACAACTAAACAATCCAGGCAGATTTCTGCCTCCACTTTGTTGACAGATTTGCCCAGGGATATTGTGGCTTTGTTTGCAGAGGTTCGGTGATATTTGGAAGGTGCTGTCCACAGCAGCCCCTCACCTCTCTTACACTCTGCATTGACTGAGGATTTACACTTTGTTTTGTGTCTGTACTGGTTTCCTATTTCTGCTGTAACAAATTACCGCAAACTTAGTGGCTTAACACAACATGGATGTATTATATTACAGTTCCAGAGGTCAGAAATCTAAAATTAGTCTTACAGGGCTAATGTCAAGGTGTCGGCTGGGCTGACCCTATCTGGATGCTCCAAGAAAGAATCTGTTCCTTGCCTTTTCAGTTTCCTAGAGGCCTCCTGCATTCCATGGCTCATGGCCCCTTTTTGGATCTCTCTGACCTCTGCTTTTGTTGTTGTTTGTTGAGATAGAGTCTTGCTATACTGCCAAACTCCTGGGTTCAAGTGCTTTTCCTGCCTTGACCTCCCAAAGCACTGGGATTATAGGCGTGAGCCACTGAGCCTGGCTCAGACCTCTTGTTATCACATCTTCTATCTCTTTGGCCCATGGGATAGTCCAGGATAACGTCTTCCTCTCAAAACCCTTAACTCAAACACATATGCTAAGTCCTTTTTGCCAAGTAAAGTAACTCATTCACAGGTTCCAGGAATTAGGTTGTAGACTTTTTTTTTTTTTTTTTTTTGAGATGGGGTCTCACTCTTGTTGCCCAGGCTAGAGTGCAATGATGGTGCGATCAAGGCTTACGGCTTACTACAACCTCCGCTTCCGGGGTTCAAGTGATTCTCCTGCCTCAGCCTCCCAAGTAGCTGAGATTACAGGCATGTGCCACTACATCGGGATAATTTTGTATTTTTAGTACAGATGAGATTTCTCCATGTTGGTCAGGCTGTTCTCAAACTCCCAACCTCAGGTGATCTGTCTGCCTCAACCTCCCAAAGTGCTGGGATTACAGGCATGAGCCACCACACCCAGCCAGACTTTTTTTTCCCCCTCAAGAAATTAGCAGTTTGTCCTACTTTTTTTTTTTTTTTTTTTTTTTTAA